TATCTACAGTGTCCTGAGACAACGTATGTTGGGACTTGGAGCTGTATAAATAAAATAAACTTGAACTTGAACTTAATACACCAAAGCTTGTAGCCTGTTGCATCCCTCTCATGCCATTTGTTATCTGTGTCCTCAAGGCTGTGTCAAATGTTTCTTCTTGCAAAGACTTCAATCCAGAATCAGAAATACTATGAAGTAAATTTTATTGATTCCATGGCATTTTTTAAACTGTGGCTAAAATATGAAATAAATAATTAAAGTAAATATCACAGATCCACACACACACATCCATGCTGGAGCTTCAGTGATTTCTTACTGAGGTACGTAGTTTCTAATAGTCAGAAACMGGTGGTTTATGTTTGTCATCAAAGATAAAACAATAGAGTTTGGACTTCTTGGACGACATCTGTGTTCACTGTTTGTGTTCACTCTGCTGAAGGAGTGAAAATGAGTGGAACGTAGTTTCCACTGGTGGGCAGCACTAATCTAAAAATTAGTTCCACTAGCCCTAAAACACTATAATATTTAGATCCCCTAAATCTAAAGCACTAACACACTGAAAAACTTAGCGAAAGCTAATTGTAAAGCACTAAAATAACCCAGTCAACCCATGAACATTCTTCAACATGACAACATGGGTCACATGATGTCATGTTGATCTCTTCAGACTGATCATTGACATGCCACAGCTGGATTTGAGTTCATATATTGTTAATATGACACCTGGTGGAGAAGTGACACATGCTGTACTGTAAATGAGCAAAATGAGTGACAGCTTTCACCGTCACTTATTAACATTAACGTTGATCAATAGATGGTTTTCGTTGACGTCATCATCCGGGACTTTTTTACCCTCCGCAAACCATTTGTGGGGCTACTATTTAGCTTGTAGCGATAAAACCAGTATGGGAGAACCACAAAGCAAGGGAGGAAAAAATGAACGACGCAGACGAGCATGACCAGGATAATAATAGTTTGTATTTAAAACATGCCTTTCAGGACACCCATGGATCTACTGAATAATAAATCTAAATCAAGGTATTTAGCTTTATTGAAAGTAGCGATCCTTACGAGCTGCTGAAGTCTGCAGAGCCGACACACAGGCTGTGTTCACATGACTCTGTGTGACTTCCTCTGATATTATTAGTAACCACATCTTACATACTCCAAATGTGTACATACTGCATAATAAGGAGCTTTTTGTGATCATTATCTGATACTGTCAGTGTATCCTACTTTCATGTTTACAAGGGTAGATTGCATAATATTCAAAACACTTTTCTGTTCACAGTGCTCAATCTTAATCTTAATTAACGTACTATGTGGTCACTGACCACGGTAGGAGTGATCTGAACACTCTGGAATCCCGAGGAGGGTGAAATCTTTGTGGTTGATTATCACCAGTCACAAAATCACGTTGCTTTGCCAACAGTTCTACTTCTTAGTGGTTTTAAGCCGTCTGTTTTTTTGGAGCGTCTCTCTGCCACACAAGCAGCACCGTTTTGTAACTAGTTCGAACACAAATTTGCTCCATGACTGTTAAAACAACTTATAATGGAAACATACTACATAAATAATCTAGACCAGTGGTTCCCAAACTTTTTATCTTCTGACCCACGGAATATTCGTGGCTAAAACTTGTGACCCCAAATATTACTGGTCTGAGTACATGAACTTCTTTAATAACTCTAAAACATTTTGACAATCTAAACAGCTTATACACAAATATAAATACTTATTTTTACTTATTTGTGTTTTTGTAATAATTATAGGGAAATATTACATCAGCAATTATTTTATTACCCTTTAAATTGATTTCTGGAGATTATCCAAGGTGCTT